TAGGCACATTTCCCACAACTCCAGGTGGTACTGTCTCCATGTATTCTTTGTAAATAATCCCCCCTCTCTGTTTTAGAGTTGAGTATAGTGGGGAGTGGGAGAGGATCCATTCTCTAGATTTCTGTATGAATTAGAATCCCTAGTGAGACAGACCTTAGCAGTTTTGTAATAGGCTTGCATGTGGTATTAGGGCTGCTTTATTGAAATTTTTAGTAACTTGTACATTTTCTTTGTTGTGGTAAAATATACATAACATACTACTTACCATTTTAATGTGTTTTTTAATTTTTATTTTATGTATTTGTTTATTTATTTATTTTTTGAGTTGGAGTCTCACTCTGTCGCCCAGACTGGAGTGCAGTGGCCGCTCCCGGCCACCGCAGCCTCGACCTACTGTGCTCCGGTGATCCTTCCGCCTCACCCTTCCAAGTAGCCGGAACTACAGGCATGCGCTACCATGCCCGGCTGATTTTTTGATTTATTGTAGAGATGAGGTCTCACTGCCTAGGCGGGTCTCGAACCCGCGGGCCCAAGCAATCCACTCACCTCAGCCTCCCAAAGGCACGGGATTACAGGCTGAGCCACCGAGCCCGGCTTTAATGTGTTTTTTTAAAACAAAGATTTTCATTTAACTGTGATTAATGGTATTGAATACAATACTTCAGGCTCTGTTAAGAGCTGACTGTTCCAGAGACTGAAAATATTTTGGATGTGGGAGCAGCTATTTTTGAGTTATGGGTGCAACTTAATCTTGTTCAGCTGCGTTGGCATAGTGACCATTGAAATGTAGTATATTGGCCAGGCTCTGTGGCTCAGCCTGTCATCCCAGTATTTTGGGAGGCTGAGGTGAGTGGATTATCTGAGCCCGCAGGTTTGAGACCAGCCTGGGTAACTTGGTGAGACCTCGTCTCTACAGTAAAATTAAAAAAAAATTAGCCAGGCATGGTAGCGCGTGCCTGTAGTTCCAGCTACTTGGAAAACTGAGGTGAAAGGATCACCAGAGCCCAGCGGTTCAATGTTGGGATGACTGTGAGCATGCCATTGCACTCCAGCCTGGGGGACAGAGTGAGACTCCAACTCAAAAAAAAAAAAAGAAGAAATGTGTAGTATCTTTTGAGCACAATTAGTTGAAGCTAAGATAGAAACTTGGTAAGTTTATTCTATCTGGCAAAACTTGTAAGAACAGTTTTGTCTCATTACTTGTACCTTAGTTCTTATTTGGAACAGAGAGCAAACAGTCATATTTCTTTGATTTTTTTTTTTTTTTGAGTTGGAGTCTCACTCTGTTGCCCAGACTGGAGTGCAGTGGCCACTCCCGTCCACCACAGCCTCGACCTGCTGGGCTCCGGGATCCTTCCGCCTCAGCCTTCCAAGTAGCTGGAATTATAGGCATGCTCTACCACGCCCAGCTGATTTTTTGATTTATTGTAGAGATGAGGTCTCACCACCCAGGCGGGTCTTGAACCCGTGGGCTCAGGCAATCCACTCACCTCAGCCTCCCAAAGGCGCGGGATTACAGACTGAGCCACTGAGCCCGGCTTATTTCTTTGATTTTAAGGCATCGTTTTCCCCCTCACATTTTATTATTTCTGAAATAATCACCTCTACATTAAATGTATGCAGATGCTTCTTGAATTAAGATGGGAATCTATCCAGGAAAACCTGTCATAAATCAAGGAGCATATTGAATGCATATTAATTTTGGCTCCTCATAGGTCAACCATCGTAAATCAAGGACCATCTGTACTTTATTGCATTTCTTTTTTCCCCCATAATACCATTAAAATTGCTGTGCACTTTTGTATTTATACTATTTGATAGTTGCATATTTTACTTAAATTTTGAAATAGTGCTGTTGAAAAAACTATTTTTCTTAATAATTTCAACCCAAAAGCTGCTGTTGAGTTAAAATGAAATTACTATTCAGCATCTTTCTCCTCACCCATACAACCTTTATCAGATTTTGGTTATTCCATCAACAGTTGAAAGAGAGAACCAGAAAGGTAGTCAGTATACCCTGGAAAATTTCAGAGACCAAACTAGGAAAGAGGCGTTTCTGCCATTCTCCCCTCCTACGGTTTCCACTGAGTGGAATCTGGTTACGTGAGCGTTGCCCCTTTCTGACTAACAGTCCACAGGGTATTTGAAGATTCTGCCTCCCCCGCCCCTTTTTTATTCTTGAGATTTGGAAGCAAGAGGTACTTTAGCAGTGCCATTGTGAATATTGAGAAACTTGACTCTGAAGGTTGCTTCAGTATTGTTGCAAGTTCTGTCTAGGGATGTCATTAGGAGTGTTAATGGAAGCCTTAAACAAAGACACGTTCCAGGTGCTGGATTCTGCCATCCTGTAAGTGTGCTCTCTAGAGGACATACTCGTCATGGTTATGGAAGGCTGTGGTTGGCCTTGCAACAGTCTGCAATAATTGCACCATGTAGATCAAGAGGGCTCAGAGCCTGGTGACTCAGGAGAGAGCAACAGCCTTAGTAGGTTCTGCAACTTCTCACTGTATCCATACTTGATAACAGAACTAACAAGAAGTGTGGTGAGTAGGGATGTTTGACAGAAGGAAAGGGAGAGGAAATTAGAGAAGCCATTGTGATTGTTTCACTTGTGGGAGAGAGCCTCAGGATACAAATGGCAGTGATGCTTCTGAATTTTGAGGGGCATCTTTTTACTGGCCCAGGATTCCTTAAGAAATAGATTTGAGAATTGTAATTTATTACCTAGATTAATTGTTCTGAGTGTTGTGCTGGGACTGGGTACTGATTAGTGGGCATGAGAAGGTGGCCTTTCACACAACTCATCTTTTGTGTCTGAATCCCTTCTTCACCGCCCCCTTTTTTGGGTAGATTTTAAATGGATGGGCAATATGGGTCTGATAAGAATTTGGAGAATTTATATTTAGGAAAGATGAGAGCTCTTGATTAGATCTCTAGTTCTATAGTCTTTTTTTTTTTATTTTTTGAGTTGGAGTCTCACTCTGTCACCCAGACTGGAGTACAGTGGCCGCTCCCGGCCACCGCAGCCTCGACCTGCTGGGCTCCGGCGATCCTTCTGCCTCAGCCTTCCAAGTAGCTGGAACTACAGGTGCGCGCTACCATGCCCAGCTCGTTTTGATTTATTGTAGAGATGAGGTCTGGCTAAGTTGCCCAGGCAGGTCTCGAACCCATGGGCTCAGGCAATCCACTCACCTCAGCCTCCCAAAGGAGCGGGATTACAGGGATTAGTTCTATAGATTGAAAACGTTTACTTAGAACCTGACTATGATGTAATGTAACCTGGGTGTACTTCAGTGAAAAAGTGCCCTTTCTGACATTGGGACAGTTGAATAAGAATAAAAATCTGAATAAGATATGTAGATCAGTAATAATAGTGCATTAATGTTCATTTCCAGATTTCGATAATTGTTTTCAGGATATACACTGAAGTACTTAGGGGCCTTGTGTCTACACAGTTAGGAGAAAAAAAAAAAATATATATATATATATATTTTGTTGACTCAGTCTTACTCCGTCACCCAGGCTGGAGTGGCATGCTCATGGCCACCCCAGCGTCGACCTGCTGGGCTCAGGCAATGCTTCCACCTCAGCCTTCCCAGTAGTGGGAAATACAGGTACATGCTACCATGCTCGGCTAATTTTTGATTTATTGTAGAGATATGGGCTCAGGCAGTCCTCTTACCTCGGCCTCCCAAATTGCTGGGATTACAGGCTTAAGCCACCGTGCCCCGCCTGAAAAAAAATATTTTTAAGCCTCCTCTCTCTATACTTTATATTGCTATATTTTTTTTTTATAAAAAGGACAAAGCAAACATGGTGAAATGTTAACAACTAGGAAATATGGGTGAAGAGTATACAGGAATTATTTGTACTATTCTAACCTTTCTATAGGAAAGGTTCTGAAACTATCAAAAAATAATTCCTCCCAAAATTCCTACTGTCTGCACAAATTTCTTTTTAGTGTAGTTTTCCTCCTTTTGAAATTGTCTTTTTCAGTTCGGTTCTAATGTGTATTAGGTGGGAAATTTCTGTATGTGTATATTTATAATGCAAGTCTTGGGCATTCCCTTCAGGTCCCCTCCCACTGTGGGAGCTTTTCTGTCTTCTCAATAAATCCTGCTTTCTAAAAAAGAAATGCAAGTCTTAGTGCCAGACCCAGCATTATAGTTTTTGTTTTGTTATTTAAGTCACAATTTGGTATTTTATCTTTGAGATACTTTACTGAGGGGATTCTGTAGCATATTGAAACAAGGACATAAAATTACTTTATGGCTAAGTCCCTTTAACTAGATTGCTAATTGTGAATTTATTCTACAAATTAACTAACTTTTAAAGGGGCAAATTAGCCAAGCTCAGTGACTCAGCCTGTAATCCCGCGCCTTGGGAGACTGAGGTGAGTGGATTGCCTGAGCCCACGGGTTTGAGACCCGCCTGGGCAGCGAGACCTCATCTCTACAATAAATAAAAAAATCAGCCAGGCGTGGTAGCGCATTCCTGTAATTCCAGCTACTCGGAAGGCTGAGGCGGAAGGATCATCTGAGCCGAGCAGGTAGAGGCTGCAGTGGCCAGGAGCGTGCCACTACCCTCCAGCTTGGGTGACAGAGTGAGACTCCAACTCAAAAAAATTAAAATAAGCTGGGCATAGTATCTCACACCTGTAGCTCCAGCTACTTGGAAGGCTAAGATGGAAGGATCTCGTGAGCCTAGTAGGTTGAGGCTGCAGTGACTGTGAGCACTGTACTCCAGCCTGGGCAACAGAGTGAGACTCCAACTAAAAAATAAATAAATAAATATTAAATAAATAAATAAAATGACTATGATTGAGAGTATATTCTAGAAGAATGTATCTAAAAATAAAAATAATTGTGTTAGGGCAATGGGATTTTTGACAACTTTCGTTTCTCTAAACTTACATACTGCTATATTTATAACAACGTTGTTTGTGTTATCTTCTGTCTTAGTATCTTGAAAATAGCCTGTCTTTATTCTTGTTTCTACAGAGTGGAGGCTGTGTCCTACAGACTCTGGAACCATGAACATATTTGATCGGAAGATTAACTTTGATGCCCTCTTAAAATTTTCCCACATGTGAGTGTTTTGACCTTGACTACTGCATTTTCTTTCATATCTAGTTTCTTTTCCTTTTTTTCTAGTTTATAACTTTTGTATGTATAAACTAACAAGTTACCTTGGCTAGAACCCTGAGGACCTAAGAAAAATGCCAGATTCTAAGGGCTGCTTGTGTGATCACTAGAAAGGCATTTATTCTAGATTGGTTACTGATTATTCATAGTTTTGGAGTTTTGGTTCTTCCACAGCATTTAAGATTCTGTTAACCTATTTTCAAAATATTCTTTTTTATTATAACATGTTCTACCCAAATTATCTCAAACCATTTGTAATATAACTTTCACATGTTCCCTGGGAAGGTCGAGAGAGAGAGAGAGAGATGATTCTTAGCTTAGAGATGAGATTGGTCTGGGAGTGATTGCTGTCATTAACATCTTTCCTAGAACCCCCTCGACACAGCAGCACCTGAAGAAGGTCTATGCGAGTTTTGCCCTCTGTATGTTTGTGGCGGCTGCAGGGGCCTATGTCCATGTGGTCACTCACTTCATTCAGGTAAGAAGAGTGGGGTTTTTTTCCCCTTTGGGTTGCTATGGTACAGATTGTATTAGGAAAAAACCAGCTCAGCAAGGTGGTCCAAGCCTGTCCCCGCCCCCCCCCCCCCCTTAATCCAAATCAGTAGTTTGGGACCTGAACTCAGCCATCCACTAATTCAGGACATGTAAAGCTATTTTAATTTTTTGGCAAATGTGCCCCCCCTTTTAACTTTTCCTTCATTCCTCCTCTTTTTTGCCTGAATAACTGTGGAGTACTTGGATGCAAAACACCGATTGTTTGAGTAATTATTAGGAGAGTAATTATTAGGAGTAATTATTATGAGACCTTGAAGGATTTGACCTATTTTTTTCTTTGATATACTGTCTTCTGCATGGTTGGGTGAGAACCTTCAACAACTCATTTTCCTTTGTGAGGGGGAATTTGGGTTTGGCCAGCAAGAGTGGAAGAGGCAGTTTGAGGAATAACCAGAAAGTTCCAAGTTCTCATAACTTATCATTTTGTAGAGTGTTCTTTTTAGCATAAAGTTAGGGATTGACCTGTGTTGGTATTTGCCACTGCTGAGGAGAACTATCCTTATGCTCAGGCATCTTCTGGCAGGGGTTGTGTGATAAATTACTCTAGACATTCAGAGGGGAGGGCATCAATCCCTTGGGTTTTAGGCAGAGTTGGCCCTTTTGGTTCTTGGATGTGGGATTTTTTTTTTTTAAGTAGTACAATCAGTCCTCATTGTTCATGGATTCCATATTTGTGAATTCACCTACTCATTAAAATTTGTAACCCCAAGATCAGTACTCACGGCACTTCTTGCACACCTGTGCAGAGTAGTGGAAAATTCTAGTCATCTTTTGTGCCATGTTTTCAGCTGAGGTTAAGTAAGGTGCTATTCTACTTTCTTGTTTCCATTTTCATACTGTAGGCTGGGTGCTGTGGCTCATGCCCAATCTCAGCACTGTGAATGACCAAAGTTGAAGGTTTGCTTGAAACCAGGAGTTGGAGACCACCTTGGCCAACATAACAAGACCTCATCTCTCAAAAAAAAAAAAAAAGTTAGCAGGGTGTGGTGGCACACGCCTGTTGTCCCAACATCCCAACTGCTGCTTGAGCCCAGGAATTCAAAATTACAGTGAGCTATGATTGTGCCACAGTGCTCCAGCCTGGGCAAGAGAGCAAGAGCCTGTCTCAAAAAAAAAATAGTCATACTGTAAACAAGTGTCCTTTTTTATGGTTGTTCAATGCCACCTTCTTTTGCATTTTTGTGCCTTTTTGTTGTTGTTGTTGTTTTTGAGTGGGAGTCTCACTGTTCCCCAGACTGGAGTACAATGGCCACCACAGCCTCAACCTGCTGGGCTCAGGTGATCCTTCTGCCTTAGCCTTCAAGTAGCTGGAAACAGGCGTGTGCCCCCATGCCCAGCTAATTTTTTGATGTACTGTAGAGATGAGGTCTCATCAAGTTGCCCAGGCTGGTCTTGAACTCTTGATCTCAGGCAATCCTCTTGCCTCTGCATCCCAAAATGCTGAGATTACAGGGGGCTTGAGCCACTGTGCTTGGTATTTTTGTGCTTTTTGTTGGTAATTTTGCTATTTTTCGTTTTGAGCTGGGGTCTCACAATGTTGCCCTGACTGGGCTCCTAGGGATCTCCTACCTCAGCCTGCCAATAGGTAGGATTATAGGTGCATGCCACCACACCATGCTTGATTTTGCTGTTTGAAATGCAAATAGCATAGTGCTGAAGGGCTATCTAATATTCCTAGTATTCAGCAAGAAGGTTGATGTGCCTCATGGAATTAATATGTGTAGATAAGCTTTGTTAAGACACAAGTTATGATACTGTTGGCTGTTGAATTCAGTGTCAATGAATCAACAATATACTTCTGTCCATACACAGAAACACACATAAAACAAGGTTATATATTAATCAGCTCGTGGGAACCTAACCGTGTATTTTCCCCACAAGCAGTGACTAATTGGCTAATTCCTTGTCCACCATGACTTGATAACATAAATACTGTGAATAATGAGAATCAAATATACATTTAAGGGAAAGAACCTCAGTATCTGTATCCATCCTTGATTTCCCTCTTTTTCCAATACCTGTAACTTTTCCCACTTGCATTTTATTTTATTTTTTGGTGTTTTTGTTTGTTTTAATCAGAGTCTCACTCTGTTACCTAGACTGGAGTGCAGTGGCATGCTCACGGCTACCACAGCCTCGACCTGCTGGGGTCAGGTGATCCTTCCATGTCAGCCTTCCAAGAACTGGAATGACAGGCGTGTACAACCACGTCCAGCTAATATTATAAAATTATTGTAGAGACAGGGTCTTTCCAAGTTGCCTAGACTGGTCTTGAACTCCTGGGCTGAGGCAGCCCTCTAGCCTCTGGCTCCCAAAGTGCTGGTATTACAGGCCTGAACCACTGCTCCTAGCTGTTTTGTATTTTAGATTCAGGGGAAGGTAGGGCATGATAGCTTTCAACATAGACGCTCTACCAAAAGATTTTTTAAAATTAGCTGGGTGTGGTGACACAAACCTATAGTCGCAGCTACTCAAGGGGCTGAGGCAGAAGGATGGTCTGAGCCCAAGCCGTTGAGGCTGTGGTGAGCCATGATTGTGCCACTGTACTGCTGCCTGATGACAAAGTAAGACCCTGACTCACAGAAAGGAAAGGAAATAAATAGATTCAGGAGTTCCACTTGCTTTTTTTTTTAAAGCAGGATTTATTGAGAGGACAGAAAAGCTCCCACAGTAGAAAGGGATCTGAGGGGGTTGCACTCACTTGGCTTTTTAAAACACAAAACAAAGCCAGGCCCGGTGGCTCAGCCTGTAATCCCTCGCCTTTGGGAGGCTGAGGTGAGTGGATTGCCTGAGCCCACAGGTTCGACCCGTCTGGGCAGCGAGACCTCATCTATACAATAAATTAAAAAAAAAAAATTAGCCAGGTATGGTAGCGCATGCCTGTAATTCTGGCTGCTTGGAAGGCTGAGGCGGAAGGATCACCAGAGCCGAGCAGTTCAAGGCCACGGTGGCTGGGAGCGGCCACTGCACTTCAGTCTGGGTGACAGAGTGAGACTCTAACTCAAAAAAAATAAAATAAAATAAAATAATAAAAAACAAAACAAAGCAAAATGTCTTTTTCTTTTTTCTTTTCTTTTTTTGAATTGCAGTCTCACTCTGTTGCCCAGACTGAAGTGCAGTGGCCGCCCACAGCCACCGTGGCCCTTGAACTGCTCGGCTCTGGTGATCCTTCAGCCTCAGCCTTCCAAGCAGCCAGAATAACAGGCATGCGCTACCCATACCTGGCTAATTTTTTTTTTT